CTCATTTTATAATTGGATTTAGATAAATGAAATAAAATGTATATAGTACAAAATTTGTAAGAAATGGTTTAATTAGAATATAAAAGTTGGCTTAATAGGAAAAATTTGCAATTTTTAAATCTTTAATTTTTTTCTTAAATTCTACATTACATTGATCTTTTAAACTTTATTAATTTTCTATATAGTTCCCAGAATGTACCACTTATTCCTTAATTTGTTGTAAAAAATTTATTAGAAACTGTTTATGAAATAAAAAATCATTTAACTTTGCTTTGATATAAATCATACGCTATGTCTACTTGCAATTTGAAAAAATGAACGCAGATAGAATCCTGACAAGTTAGACAAGATAGACCCATTTATTAATAAGGTTGAGTTGGTTTAAAAACCTGTTCTTGACCAGTCCAGGAACTGATCCAAAAGGATCATAATGATCAGTTTAGTTTAGAGATTAGTTCTGACTACTTTAATTAGAAAAAAACACTATGCAAAACTAGTATACACCAATTGAATCGGTTATTAATAAGCTTTTTGTAAAATATCAGAAACACCGTACATATTTGTTTAATCAGGCCTCTTTATTGTTTTGTTTTTTGTGGGAAAAAAAATGCTGTGCAAAACTAGCATTAATTAAATTGGTTATTACTAAGCTCTTCATGAACCACATACATATTTGTTTAATCAGGCTTCTTTATTGCTAAATTAACTTGTTTTTTTATGAAAAAAAATACTGTGCAGAACTAGTATACACCAATATACTAATTGAATTAGTTTTTTTAAGCTTTTTGTAAAACATCAGAAATGCCATACATATTTGTTTAATCAGGCTTCTGCATATTTGTTTTGTGTTGTTAAATTAGCTTGTTTTTTATAAGAAAAAAAAACGCTGTTCAATTCTTTATTGCTAAATTAACTTGTTTTTTTATGAAAAAAATGCTGTGCAGAGCCAGTATACTAATTGAATTGGTTATTGATAAGCTTTTCATAAAACATCAGGAACGCCATACATATTGTTTAATCAGGCTTCTTTATTGTTAATAAACTTGTTTTATGAAAAAAAAATGGTTATTGATAAGCTTTTCGTAAAACATCAGGAATGCTAGTATACACTAATTGAATTGGTTATTGATAAGCTTTTCATGAAACATTAGGAACCCCGTACATATTTGTTATTGTATTATTTTGTTTTTTTGCGAGAAGAAAAATGCCATGCAAAATGCACCAATTGAATTAGTTATTGATAAGCTTTTGTGAAACATCAGGAATGCCATACATATTTGTTTAATCAGGCTTCTTTATTGCTGTCAAAGCTGGTATACACCAATTGAATTAGTTATTGATAAGCTTTTTATGAAACATTAGGAACCCGTACATATTTTTATTGTTTTATTTTGTTTTTTTGCGAGAAGAAAGATGCTGTGCAAAAAATGCACTAATTGAATTGGTTATTGATAAGCTTTTTGAAATATCAGGAACACCGTACATATTTGTTTAATCATACTAAATCAGGAACCCGTTATAAGAAAAAATGCTGCGCATAGTTAGTATACCTAATTGAATTGGTTATCGATAAGCTTTTCATGAAACATCAGGAATGCCGTACATATTGTTTAATCAGGCTTCTTTATTGCTAATAAACTTGTTTTTATAAGAAAAAATAGTTATTGATAAGCTTTTTGTGAAACATCAGGAATGCCGTACATATTTGTTTAATCAGGCTTCTTTATTGTCTTCAAAGCTAGTATATGCCACTTTTCATGAAATATTAGGAACTCCGTACATATTTGTTATTGTATTATCTTTTTTTAATTGCGAGAAGAAAAACGGTATGCAAAAGTAAATGTACCAATTGAATTGGTTATTGATAAGCTTTTCGTGAAATATCAGGAACGCTGTATATATTGTTTAATCAGGCTTCTTTATAAGAAAAAATAGTTATTGATAAGCTTTTCGTGAAACATCAGTAATGCCGTACATATTTGTTTAATCAGGCTTCTTTATTGCTAAATTAGCTTGTTTTTTTGAGAAAAAAACAGCATCGTAAAACATTAGGAACCCCGTAAATATTTGTTATTATATTATTTTATTGCGAGAAAAAAGCATAGTGCAAAAGTATGCACTGATTGAATTGGTTATAAGTTTTTGTGAAACATCAGGAATGCTGTACATATTTGTTTAATAAGGCTTCCTTATTGCTAAATTAACTTGTTTTTTATGAGAAAAGAAAAGCTTGTATATACCAATTGAATTGGCTTTTTGAGAAACATTAGGAACCCTGTACATATTTGTTATTGTATTATCTTTTTATTGTGAGAAAAAAAATGCCATGCAAAAGTATGCACCAATTGAATTGGTTATTGATAAGCTTTTCGTGAAACATCAGGAACACTGTTCATATTTGTTTAATCATGCTTCTTTTTGTTGCTAAATTTGTTTTTTATAATAAAAAAACGCAGTGCAAAGCTAGTAAATTGGTTATTGATAAGCTTTTTGAGAAACATTAGGAACCCCGTACATATTTGTTATTGCATTATCTTGTTTTATTGTGAGAAGAAAAATGCTGTGCAAAAGTATGTACAAATTGAATTGATTATTGATAATTGTGAAACCCAGGAACGCCGTACATATTTGTTTAGTCAGGCTAAATTAGCTTGTTTTTCATGAGAAAAAAACACTGTGCAAAGTTAGTATATACTAATTGAATTGGTTATTATACCAGTTGAATTGGTTATTACTAAGCACTTCATAAACCATTAGGAATGCCATACATATTTGTTTAATCAGACTTCTTTATTGCTAAATTGCTTGTTTTTTATAAGAAAAAAAACATGCTGAAGGTTTTTGAAATTCATATCATATGAATTTAGCCAATCAGATTAATAGAAATAAACTGACGATTTGACAAAATTGTTATAGGGAGTCACCCAAGTAATCCTTATCCGAGCCTAAACTCTACCTATAACTGATAGGTTTTCATTCTGCAACACTATCTAATTTTTTTCATGAAATATCAGAAACGCTATACGGATTTATTAAGTTTATTTCATAGGTAATTTTAGAAATCTTTGTCGTCTATATATTTTAACTAATGTAAAATTTAATATCAAAAAAAGCCAATGAACAAATTTCAAAATGAACAAATTTCAATTTTTATAAAATTTTTGTACCCAATTGAGGAAATCAAAAATCATTAGCTTTGAGTGCATGTTAATTCCCAAATTAAGTATTTACTTTATTCTGAAGACTTAAAGGTAATGAGTATTTAACCGAATGTTGACTATTAACAACGTGTCAACAATAAAAAAAGTCAATTGAAAATTTTAACTTATATTTATTACAATTGTAAGGGTCAATCAATCATTTTAATTGCATCACAAATTTTAACCTTGAATTTCATAATATAATTTAATCTTGAATTTCATAATATAATTTATTCATATATTGTAAAATAAAATGCTAACATAATAATAAAAAATGCATAATAAATTTTCCTTAATCAAATAATAAAATGTTGATATAATAAAAATTGGTTCCAAATAATACGTAATATAATAAAATTATGCTATTTCAAAACTTAGTACTACTAGAATAAAAATTTACCACATATAATTATAAAAATCCAAGTTGATTGGGCATATTAAAAAAACTGCATAATTCCTAGATTTGAGATAATAAGCAAAGTTAATAAAATGAAAATTTAACTCATAAAATATTTAAGTATACTACCTTATAACAAAGAAATTTAAAATTTTAATTAATTAGGTTGATTCTTTAATTTTTCCAATACAAAATTGGCAAGATTTTTAAATTCTTCGACTTCTACTTCTTTTAGATAATTTAAGGTAAGCTTTAAAGGCCTAATATTGTCAAGAAAAGTTTCAAAATTGATCTGTTCTTTTTCTATTGTTTTTCTTACATAATCTACCAGGTCATAAACCCTTTTCAAATGAGCTATTTCAGCCCCTCTACTCCTTCTGTTGACATAGAATTTTTGATCAAATTGCCAAGTTCTCTATTTTTAGCATCATCTTTTTTTTTTTTTTTTTTTTGTTATTAAGGCCGATATTACAGAGCTTACTGCCTTTATTTGTGTTTTTAGTTAATGCATTACATATAACTTGTACAAGGTGAGTGTGCA